GGGGGGGGGCCTGAAGCCCAATAAAACCCTCTGGATCTGCTACTGCAATATATTATACTGTTCTTGCAGATTCTATGATTTAAGTAGTAAACTGCATCTGGACAGGGGTGTACATTACTGCTAGACTAAAAACCGAGACCAGTAATTTGAACTGGGCTACTTTATTGAAAAATTCTCATATTTCCCATGACATTTTCAGGTTTAGTCGAAAGAATTTCAAAGTCATTCTGCAGATTTTAAAAACAATTTTCCTTGTTAATTTAATCTAACATTAAAATAAACTGTTTTTACCTATGTGTAAAATTCTGTTTTAATTCAGCAATGTTTTGACTGTGGAAGTAACAACCCGACATGGGCCAGTGTGACATATGGTGTGTTCCTGTGTATCGACTGTTCAGCCACCCACAGGTCATTAGGTGTCCATGTCACCTTCATCCGGTCCACTCAGCTGGACACCAGCTGGACATGGCTGCAACTCAGAGCCATGCAAGTGGGAGGCAATGCCAATGCTGTAAGTTTTGTTTACAATCTCTGATGGAGGCTGCAGATTTCTTTAAAGCAGAATTTTGAGATTGAGTCTCAGACTTTTAAAATGCTTCACATAATATTACTAAGGTTCAAAGAAAAAGATACAATTTCATGTGGCCAAGATGTCATTTTTTGAAAGTGTTTAGATATTTTGAATTATTGTGCTGGTGGTGCCCATTCCATTCCCAGCTTTGGGGTATATGTGTTTTACCTCTAACTAGGGCATTACAGCTTTGGTATACATGGTAGATAGTGTTTATCTTTGGGTAGCTGTTGATTTGTGTTCAATGTTCACATGTGAAATAAAACAAAAGTTAAAGAGAAATGAAAGAGACACCCTGTTGGGAAGTTAACACTGTTCTATTAACTCATTCACCCCTGAGGACGCATTTGAACTATTCCAACTCAAAGGTTGGAATAGTTCATTATGAAATTTCAGGGGTAAATGAGTTAAAAGGGAACAAAAGGGAAAAACTGAATTTTGAATCCTTCTCTGGGTGTATAGTATTTGAATTAAATCATTGTGTTACATTGAAATGCATGTGAAGTATGTTATTGACCAATTTCTGGTTCTGTTTGTGTCTCTAAATGAACTTGGTTTCTATTTTAAATAAGGCTTATATAACTGAAAGGCCTGAACCCTGTTTCTGTTTTAACTAAGGCTTGTTTATGTTAACTGAAGGGCCTAAACCCTAAATGATATGATGTAAAGAATGTATGGAAATAATGTTACATTTTTCTGTTTGATGTCTTCAATTAAAGTAAAGATTTTAAATTTGAACGAGGATGTTTTTTTTGTTGTTGTAGACGGCCTTTTTTCGACAGCACGGATGTACAACAAAAGAATCCCAGCAGAAGTACCACAGTAGGGCCGCAATGATGTACAAGGAGAAGCTACAATCACTCGCCAATAATGCCAACAGATTACACGGCACTAAGGTACACACCCAATCCTGTAGTGGTACAGTATGCAGTCAGCCACTGTATCTTATAGCAGAAAGTGTCATTTTCATGTCATAATTGCAACTATAGACCGTTCTACAATCTGTTGTTTTTCTTTTTCAATTTATGTGATTATGAGAACTGGTCATTCACTTTTTTCATAATTCTCACATATTTGTAATTATATACTTAGTCATCACAAGAAATCATGAAACAATAGCATGTAAAAAAAAATCTTGTCGAGAAAAAAGGAAGTCCGTAGTTAAAAAAATAATGTAGCATAAGAAGAAATATTGGAAAATTATTTTTATGTTCAATTTAGATAAATAATGTCTTTATTGTTTCCAAGGTGATTCTGCAATTACATTAAAAAGTTGTGAGAAATGTAAGAATTGGTTGGATATTTCATTCACAATCTCAAAAATGAGAAGCCAAAATTAAGTGGAGCAGACAATTATTGTTTTCCCCAAAGAATTAAGCTTCCTGGTTCCAATAAGTATGATTTTTTGTGTTATGTCTAAATATAATCATTCAGAAACAATATTTTCCAAATTTAAAAAAAAACAAATTGGTGTTCTGTGTCAATAATTGCAATTTTAGCTTCATTTGAAATTCACTTCTAGCCATTTGTCTTTACCCCAATGCACTGTACGTGTTTTCTAATGCAATTGGTTGGCTAATTTAATTACAAAACCAGGCAGCACCTATCAAATTGTAACTATAAATTAAAGGTTATAAATTAAATTACTGTATCGTTTTCATGTAAAAGGAGGTACATGTAGTAAACAGCTGAAAGTTAATTGTTTTCCCTCAAGCTCTGCATGACAACCTAATGTATATGTATTTGCATGTGTGCCCTTCCTATGGATAAATATCATTTTAAGTCTAAATGCATGCACGTTTTCAATTGTCACTGACAAAGTTTTGTGTGTTTCAATGAAATGTTGAAATAAGGAAAGAGTAAAAAAATATGCCTTTTTGTTACTTCTTATAGATCCACATATGTACAAATTTGTATAGCTATAAAAGTTCATGGAAAAAGGAATGACAGACTGGTTCAGCAAAATAAATAAACCATATCAATGAAAAATCTCTAACCCTTTCACCACTGTAGACCCGAATGGACTTGTCCAGATAAATGTATGATAGAGTCTACTAAAGTTACCTAGGGGTGAAAGGGTTAAAACATCTCTTTTTGAATGAAGTGGTATATATATATAAACATTGTACCTCTAAGTAAAATTTGTGACTGAGCTGGGTGCTTAATTAAATGTTATTAATTAACTCATTGGATTAAACAAGTAATGAACATAGTTATTTTGTCCTAGCTAGTTAATAATGAAAATAACAAAACTGTTGTTTAATTAGATAAAGTTTATAATGTTATTATTCTATTTTATCTGTACAGCTGACCCTTGACCCCAGTAACCGAGGAAACAAGGTTAGAGGTCATAAGGCAGGCCTAGACTTGTTTGCACGTTATTAATTAATGTTCACAGTTTTCATTGTACAGCTGCTGTTTCTAATCAATTCAGTTTTCAGTGGGGAATCCTGAGGGCAGATTGTGCTCAAAATCAGTTTTATTTAAATGTCTGTTTATGGTGATAGACCAATCCAGTTTTTATGGCAATTTATATCAAAACTCAAGTACAGGTTGTGTTAAGAGTTCTTTTATAGCATATTGTAAGTATAGAGATGTAAAATAAATCTCAGTTGTAGTTAATGGGGGGGATGTGTGTATGTGTAGTTGAATCTTTTTATTCTTGTATTTCTTTATCTCTGACCAATTGTTAGTTGAACTCAGGATTCAAAATACTTGTATTGTAATCTTGGACAATCGGTCTTGATGCAATTTAATAACAAAACCATCCTTTATTTTGAATAATTTTGTAAAAGTGAAACCTTAATACTAATCAAATGAATTTGGAAATGAATAAACTTATGTTAAAAATCGTTGTAATGACTACTATATAAAACAGGGAGATTTATACATGCTTAAGTTTGTAAGATGAAAGTACTGTACTATAAAAAAGGGACATAAAAGTGTGTAAGTTTGTAAAATGAAGTTTTAGAACAATTTCTTTCATATGTTGCAAACAGGTCTAGTTGAATGAAAACACTGTTGTGCTTATCTGAGGCTGTAACATGCTTCCTTCTTTTTTTTTTTAATAATTTCTTAATATTTACCACCGAATTATGTTTAGATTTATACTATCCCTTGATAATGAATTAATAGCAACATGTGTTTTGTTTCTTTCTGTCTGCTGAGCATTGAATATTTCAGAACTGGAGCCTGCGATGACTTTGATTTAGAAATAATATTCATAACATTACATATTCAGGCTCAGTGAACCTTAGTTTTCAATATTTATGTATCCTCATTAGGGTCTGATTATTGACTTCAAATGAGTATTTAAACCCTGTATAATTATCACTATAATTATGAATGAATCCTTATAGAAAACGTTGAATATTTCTTATATAATTCCATAGTAGTTAAATTAGATCAAGATAAATGTAAACAAAACAAAAATGAAATAAAAATACACATGCCAATTAATTCGTCAAGGTTTATAAATCTAAATGATAAGGATGTATTTATGGGGCACATATTATCACATTTACCTATTGATTTATCCTTGGTGTTGACATTTAAATGAGTTGTAGAATTGGACAACACAGCCACTGCAATCATGCCAACTCCACCACTTATAAACTGCCGTATTTGACCTGATAAATAACCTGTCGCTGAAACTTGGATAATTTGGGACCAGTGTAACAAGCTATTGACACCAAGTTCCTGTGTTTATTTCACTTCTTTTGAAGTGTAATACAGCCATGTATAGCACTTAAATTTTAAATGATTTTTAGAAGAAGACTTTGATTGTAAATATGTTGATAAAAGATCAAGTTAATTGAGAAAATTGCCATATTTGATGTGTTTCATATTTTGTATGGCTATAATTTACCTGAAACAATGAATGGTAGAAAACGGTTGGTTTTCAATTTAGACACATTCTATATAAACTGTATACTTCAGATGCTGTTAAGTTATGGGTAACAAGTACCCTGTGGTCTTCATTTTACCAAGGAAAGCTTACCCTAAGCCTGGTGATAGGTCTAAGGAGGGTTATATATATTTGCCAGCTTTATTTGTTACATTTATTTGCAGAGTTTTTATCCAACATTACCTTGTGGGTACCTCATGTGTTATTTGAAATATTATTTGGTATATCAACTAATACATCAGCTGCAAGTTTGCTAGCTCTACTAACACAGGGCATGATTTAAAATATTTTGTATCTTCTTATGATATTGATGCTTGTAAAAAGATTTAGAAAATTTAAAATAGTCATTGCATGCTTACTTGGCGTTACATTAAAATACAAATGGAATTCTGATATTTATCACAATCCTGTCTTATTATAATGCAGTGATCATGACATTTCAGTAATAACTGAATAAGTATACAACTTTAATTTTGTGTGGTATTTTAATACTTTTGGTGTTAATTACACTTTTTCATGTAAAGTTTGCAATTAATCAAGATTGTAACAGTGCTAGCTGTGTTTACTACCTGATGCATTAGAAATGATTGCTGTTGTATACGCAGTAATGCACAGGTCTACGTATACTTTATCACAAGAATAACACTGCTTGGAAATTATTCTGTATACACTATTTTCTAAATATGTATACAAAACATAGGTTCTCGAACATACTGAATCTCTTTATTCTCCATGTTTACCTGTGTTGTGTATGTGAGCTTGAATTGTGTTTGTTATCTCTCTATTGTCTCCTGTTTTTATGTTTGTTGTATTTAATCTGTCTGTTATTATCTCCCTTGTCGGTTGTGTTCTCCTTTATCTGTATATAACGGTATATTTATGTAATCACTCTCTATTTTATCTACAGCTCCACATAGACAGCCATGACCCAACCTCCCCTGTCAGTAAGGAAGTTGACTTCTTTGATGAGCACACAGACTTGTTTGATTCAACACCTGCCCCCACTCCGATCAGTGATAACGCCAAGCTCTTTTCCTCCACAGCTCCCCAGCCCATTAAAAATGGCAACCAAAGCAAGGAAATAGGTATTAATACAAATGTTATATCATTCAATTATACAAGTTATGAAACAGAACTTCAAAATGGTTTCCCCTTGATTTATATAATTTGTTATGCTTTTCTTGCAGTTATAAACTATTTATGACCATGCAATGCAAATAAAATACAAATAGGACGATATATGGAGCAATCTTATCAGTCTTGATGGGTTTTGAAAGCTAAAGCTGCACTGGTACCATTCCTATGTGTAATTAATTAAAAACATGCGACTTATTGGTCATTTGAATTGCATTACAGTTTAGTATTATTTCAATTTTCTGTAAAATTTTAGCTTTGTGTAGACTAATCAAAACTGATTAATGTAATTCAGATACAGTGATAATGTTATTGTAAATGTTTTGAGTAGTATTTTATTGGAAGTGTAAAACTTCTTTTAGATCGTAAAAATAACTGTAATGCTTCCAATCTTTCTGATATTGAAATATTGTTGAAAAACAGCCAAAGCCCATCTTCAGTAAGATACTGTCAACATATGTATTTTGACAGTTTACTTATTTTAGCGTCTTTCATGCTGTGTCTGATGGTCTAATTTATGTACAACATTAGCTATATTTTCTAGTAGCATATGTGCTCAAGTAATACATTAATGTACTTGTGTATCAGACATATCCTTGAGTGCTGAAATATTTTGTGTGATAATAAAACATGGACATTATATAGATCAGCTGCTCATTAAGGAAATTGAATTGGACAAATTTTTCTTTTTGTAGACAAATTTGAGAATGAATCATCAAAGAAAATTATAATCATCTGTGTTCTATGAGATGATGAATTGGTATGTCGTTATGCGAGAGATTACCTTTTCCACTTGAAGTGATGAGAAATTGCTTGTTACTCCATTGTACTTACTCTTGCTGGCTTTTTTCAGACCCTACAGAAGGCCCAAGTGTGGAGGCAGCCTTGAGCGTGTCCCCTACACAGGCAGCAGCCCACGCAGAACCTAGAAAGTCCATCATTGGTGCAAAGAAGCCTGCAGGGGCACGGAAAGGGGTATGTGTACAGTGGGAGTTTCTGTCGTCATTCAGGGTTAACTTTTGTTATGTGAAATTATGGCCGTTTTATAGGAAGTCTCTCGGGATTAAGCCGAGTGATATAACTGTTAGTGAAATAAGAATCCTCTGTCGGGTTTTATGTAGTTTACGTCCAGTATCATCAGTTTATAATAAGTGTATGTCTCATAAATGGGAGAGCTATGTCCTATCTGTAATTGATTGGGAGAGCTATGATCGATGCTGTTTTTACTGTCAGTTGAGGCAGCCATGTGTCAAGAGTGTTTCATGTAGTGTAAATATTGAGTGGGTACCAATGTGAACTTTGATAAAGAGAGCCTTTGTTTCACATAAAATAAATAGTTTTTTGTTTCCTATGACAATGTTTAACAGAAGAGTGGCATGGGAGCCCAGAGAGTGAAGGCCAACTTCACCGAGATTGAGAGTCGTGCCCAGCAGCTGGACCAAGAGAGGGAGACACTTGCAGCCAACCAGGCAGTTGTTGAGGCACGCACAAATGAGGAGCAGGAAAAGCAGATGTAAGGGTCAGGTAGAAGGGTGAGAGGGAGGGGAAGGGGCACATGCTAATACACCAAGGGGGAGCAGGAAAAACAGATGTATAGGTCAGGTTTAGGGGTTGGAAGAGAGCAAGGCTCTTATCAAGAAGGAGCAGGAAAACAGATATAAGGGTCAGGTATAGGGGTTGGAAGAAAGCAAGGCTAAACCAAGGACGAGCAGGAAAACAGATATAAGGGTCAGTTAGAGGGGGTGGGGAGGGTGACAAACTCGCACCAAGGATGAGCAGTAAAAGCAGATGTTAGGGTCAGGAAGAGGGGTCAGGGAGGGACACTGACTCACACCAAGGATGAGCAGTAAAAGCAGATGTTAGGGTCAGGTAGAGGGGTCAGGGAGGGAGACCGACTCACATCAGGGATGAGCAGGAAAACAGATATAAGGGTCAAGTAGAGGGGTTAGAAGAGAGCAAGGCTCTTATCAAGAAGGATCAGGAAAACAGATATAAGGGTCAGGTATAGGGGTTGGAAGAAAGCAAGGCTATCACCAAGGACGAGCAGGAAAACAGATGTTAGGGTCAGGTAGACGGGGTGGGGAGGTTGACAGATTCACACCAAGGATGAGCAGTCAAAGCAGATGTTAGGGTCAGGTAGAGGGGGTGGGGAGGGAGACCGACTCACACCAAGGATGAGCAGTAAAAGCAGATGTTGGGGTCAGAGAGAGAGACCGACTCACACCAAGGATGAGCAGTCAAAGCAGATGTTAGGGTCAGGTAGAGGGGGTGGGGAGGGAGACCGTCTCACACCAAGGATGAGCAGTAAAAGCAGATGTTAGGGTCAGGAAGAGGGGGGGTGGAGGGAGACCGACTAACACCAAGAAGGAGGAGCAGGTTAAACAGATATTAGGGTTAGGTAGAGGCCTAGAGGGTTGGGCCGGAGACAGGCTCACACCTAGGATGAACGATAGGGGTTGGGAGGGAGACAGGCTCATATCTATGAGGAGCACATAGGGGTTGGAAGGGAGACAGGCTCACACCTAGGATGAACGATAGGGGTGTGGAAGGAGACAGGCTCACACCTAAGATGAACGATAGGGGTGGGGAGGGAGACAGGCTAACACCTAGGAGGAGCACATAGGGGTGGGGAGGGAGACAGGCTCACACCTAGGATGAGCGATAGGGGTGGGGAAGGAGAAAGGCTCACACCTAGGATGAGCGATAGGGGTGGGGAAGGAGCCAGGCTCACACCTAGGAGGGGCACATAGGGGGGTGGAAGGAGACAGGCTCACACCGAGGATGAACGATAGGGGTGTGGAAGGAGACAGGCTCAAACCTAAGATGAACGATAGGGGGGGGGAAGGAGGCAGGCTCACACCTAGGAGGAACGATAGGGGTGGGGAAGGAGCCAGGCTCACACCTAGGAGGAGCACATAGGGGTGTGGAAGGAGACAGGCTCACACCTAAGATGAACGATAGGGGTGGGGAAGGAGACAGGCTCACACCTAGGAGGAGCACATAGGGGAGGGGAGGGAGACAGGCTCACACCTAGGATGAACGATAGGGGGGGGGAGGGAGACAGGCTCCCACCTAGGAGGACTACATAGGGGTGGGGAGGGAGACAGGCTCACCCCTAGGATGAACGATAGGGGTGGGGAGGGAGACAGGCTCACACCTAGGAGGAGCAATAGGAGTACAGTATATATGGTGTACTGGACTTTAGTGACAACCAGGCAATACCTTGGGCTTGCATCAAGAGGATTGAAGTATAGAGGATTGATTAGGTGTGGTAAAATATATAACTTATCTAGATATGAATCAGTTGTACTGTTGTATTGTTGCTATATTGATTGTTATTCTATTGTAATGTTGTATAAAGAGATGTTGATTGTGTATAACACACACTGTGGACCTGTTGTATTGGTGTAAAACACACTGTTGATTGTGGATTACTTGTATTGTTGCAGGGCTTCAATGAGATTAGCTTACAAAGACATGAGTGTACAGAGGAAAAAGGAGGAAGAAAAGCTGAAGGTAACAGATCCAAAGAAAGCTGCACAGTATGAGCGACTCGGCATGGGCTTCGTGGGAAACAGGTGAGGACAACGAACAGCAGTGATATTTGCTCATTATTGTTTTGAAAAATAACTTTGGTAGGAGATTAAAATATTCATTACTACAATGAGATATTGTTGGAGGTATTTTAGACCAAATTTGGGTGTTTGTTGCTTCAAGCCTTGAGTAACCTTTAAAAATTATTATTTTGAATTGATTTCAGCTAAAATGTTGATTCCAGGACTGGGCAAAACATTTCTTTTATTGAATAAAATTGACACAATTAATTTAATTTTATATTTTCTTCATGACCCATCGATAAAATAAGGTCGGAGTTTAATGATGAAGTTTTAGGTATATAGGTCCTGAGATGCTTTGGAAACAAAATACCTGAAGAAAAGGATGATAGTGAAAAAAAAGATCCTCAGTATTGCAATAGTTGCAGTAGATAAGTTTAGATTCATCTTTAGTACTCCCTCATCCGAAAGCATCGTAGAAAACCTGTCATTCGTCTTTAGTTTTAATTCATCAGAGAGTAAGAGAGAAATCTGCCTTCTTTGGATTTCTCCATTAGAGAACGCAGGAGAAAACCTGTAATGCTTCTTAGGTTTCCTCTTCAGAGAGTAAGGGAGACAACCCCCGACTCTGCAGGGCCCAATCTTAGTGACCTCATACAATCATGTAGTGGGATACAAGCTGTCACTTATTGTCCTGTGACTGTAGGGGTACGAGTTTATGTAAACAATGTTAAAACACAGATATATAGAGATAAATTACTGTTATATTTGATTTGAATGTTTCTCATATTCTTTTGATCTTATATCTATTTCTAGAGAGTTCAGCCATTCTGCCATATCTGACATGCAGACCATTGAACAGTCTCAACCTAATAAATCTTCAAGCAATTCAAATGGTGCTGACCGCTACGACAGGAAACCAGCCAGGTCCAAGAATTTCTTTGATGAAGAATTGGATTCCATGGGATTTTCATCATCATCTTCCAAGTAAGCATTCATTCATTTAAAATATCTGATAAATCAAAACAAAACATACTCCAATGAAGTACTGTATACAGGAAAATGTTTGCTGCGGTTTAATTTTTGCCTTTTTCACCCTCCGTTATTAGGGTGAATTAATCAGTACAGCGAACATTTGTAAACAACATAATAGATATAGTAAATAAATGTGACGGCCGATTTTAATATTGGGCGAAAATGGAATTAACTGTCAAAGGAGGATAATTTCCTGGTATACAGTGATCGATTGATTGAAGATAAAAAGATTTGTACCTAATGCAGATACTTAGTACTTATCATGTAGCATCCAAAATAAAAACAAAACAAATATATGTCCTGAATGCTTTGATTTGTTTGTTGTATTTATTATCGTACTTGGTGTTTGTACAGATATGACAGTCCGTTCAGTGAGGAGAAAGATTCCTTCAATAGCTGGGGCAGTAGTAACAAGTCCGGCAGCTGGGATATAGACCGATTTGAATCTAAACAGCAAAAGTTTTCTGAAACCTTGTCCTCGTCTCGGGATGATGACAGGTAGGACAGATCACTTGATACTCTGTCCCGTGCCTGTGATACTAATGTGCCTCTGTACTCCTCTGTCTAATGTGTATCTGTTTAGTGTAAATTCCTTTGGATCTGATATTATTTGTTTTTAAGGTCATTATTCTTTAATTTCTTAAAAGAAAATTTTGGTAATTCATTAAAAGACCAGTAACTCAGATTGGTAGGATAGCCACATAATGGTATCATAAAATCATTTCCATTGCATTTGTTGATGAATACATGTGAACTTAAATCCAGTTTTCTATTGTACATTTAACAAATAATGGTCATGCTTTCTCGTGTACAAAAGGGGATTGATTATCACTCCCAATATTCTTTGCTGCAAACGATCAATGTAAATGATTTGTCTTCCAACTTTGTATACAAACTTCAAACAGACATAATAAACCTTCCTCCTATGTGATTGTGATGTGTAAATTCTTTTAACAAGCCAAGAGATCGTGGAGGATGAGAGTCACGGTGATGTAGATGAGGGGTAATTGTCATGGCAACCATGTCACTTGTCACTTCAGGGTCAAGGGTCAAGGTCATATAGCTATATTTATGTTCAGGGGTCATCCAATCAAATGTTTATGCCAGATATTTTGAATTATTACAGATTTTCCATTTAAGTAATTACACTTCATTTTTAAATCATTGCTGAAGATGGCATGAACTTGTGACCCCTGACCTTAAATGATGCACTACTGCTGCGACCTTTAACCTTGACTTTGGGCACATGTTAGACACACCTGTTAGACACCATAAATACATGTTTACCTGCTTTATTTTGGTTTTGGCATGTGTTTGTAGTACATCACGTTGTGTATTCCTAATAAAACAGACTTTGGATAGTAATATTGTCCTTTGATGATGCTTGTTCATTGGGATTCAACACAAATTTAATTACAAGGCTATGAAATTTGAATTTTAAATATAATTTCTCAAATTTCTTAACACATATGGTGTTCAATTCAATTTTAATTTCAATTAAATGTTTAAAAATATTTATAAGAAAAAAATATAAAAATCTCTTTCATAGAAAATACAGTGTGAGTTGTTTTCTAAAATGAAATAAGCTGATAGTAATTGAACAACTACCCTGTTGTTGTATTCACAATGACAAGCAGTGGGTTTTGACATTTCATTCAGTATATTCCTGTAGGAATGCCTCCAGTGCTCTCCCAAAAAGTAGGTCAAGGTTCATGGTTCATGTTTTCTTTGAAAACAACTTTGAGTGTAATGGTGTAGTCCAATGATACCTTTTCTTGATGAAAGTTATGAAATATTTAAATCATCAGCAAAAATTTCGTGGCATATATATACCCAAACTAAACAGAAGTCATAACAAAGAAATTGAGAGAGAAAAAAAGGACAAAAATACACTTTGATGACACAAATGCTTGGGGTTAAATACGAATGTACCTAAATAAAATTATTAAACCAACTGACAAGGAAGTTTGGTAGGAGGCCATATACTGGAATCAGCTTATCTGTCCATTCACCTTGCCCTCTGTAGATAATACCTTTCCATGTGATTCCTTCTTAGCTATATGATCAATTTCAAATTAACTTTGTAAACATGATCAGTTCATTATGCAGTTATGTACACTGTATATTTTCATTTTTGTTGCAGTGATGCACCTTTTTGTAAAAAAAAACATGTCCATATTTCTTATCCTAAAGTACTCCAGAGATTTAAATGAAAATTTAAGAAAGTTTGCATAGTATAAATTTAATATGCAATTTACATTCCATTTAAACCTTAATGGAGTTATGTCCCTTTATGTAAGTAAAGCCTTGTCCCGACTATTTCCAATAAAGTATTGTGAATGGTATTGGCCTGTGATAAACAAAAGTTAGTCCTAACATGGTGCTGGGGATAGATGTTAGCTTGTGGTTTTCACGTGTCCATTCTTTGTTTTCTTGTCCATGATATATAATTATTAATTATGTATTAATTTCCTTGTACATTATGTACCTTGTAATATTGAAAAAAAATCACATATACATTGCCTACCATGCATGATCAGTTCACCAGTATGACATTCAAAATTCAGAAATATACAAACTTTTAAGCAGTTAAGATAAACTGTTCACATTTCAATTATTTGGTTGTAAATTAATAGAAACATTTTCATTATCTATGTCACAGGTAAATTAATTACTACAATTTGAACACCAAACTTACTTTTCCTGTATAAAATAACGTCATCTACACATGGCACTCTTTCACAATATTTTCCTGAATGCTGAAACATCTCATCAAATATAAACAGTGCCTTGATGCCATTTCAATGTGAAAACAAATTTTTTTTTTTCATTCAAAATATTTGAAATATATTTTATAAATATGGTATCATTAATATTATCTACATTGAAAAGGCTAGCACATGCACTATCACTTAATTAACAAACTTTGAAGTACATGATAATCAAAATCAGGTATTGACATGATATTTTTAAAAATGTACATGTATTCTGAAAATTATTTTTCATATGCATTTGATGCTGTAAAGAGTCAATCTACATTGACAATTGCTGACTGCCATCAAGGATATGTGTGTAATAAGTTCAGTCTACCCAGCTATAAAAATGAATATGACATGTACAATATAAAAGTGCAATGAAGTAATTGTGTGATAGACTGGTGTCTTTCAAAGGATTTTTTTTTAATTCTGAGTTCCATTTTGCCAGTTATCTTTAAACCTTCGTCACAAACCGCAGTTACACAACCAATCACAACTTCTAAACAATTTTTATTGAAAAGATGTGCCATTTAAAATGAAAATAAGACATGAATTATTAAAACCAAGCACTGTAAATATATAAACAACAGACTCCCTCTTACACAAAGCTATCATATCACAGCATAACATGCATGCAACTGTCACCATGAACCATCAACATGCCAACTTGTCTATGTCTGTGAAATGTAATACAGGTTAATTTGTCTAAAGCAACCCTTCAATAACCTGGAATTCTGTGTAATGGGACCCATTCATTTGATGGGATTTTATTGGACGTGTCCAATATGAACGCTTGGGCGTTTTTACTTTAACTGTTGGTGCATGTTGTGTTTGGTTTAGATAGGTTTGATTGTATACAATAGTTGTATCCTGTTGGTGTTTGAACACCATTGGTTTGTTATTGCAGACCTAGCCGAAGTAGGAAGGCTTACGACTACAACACATCCACTGCTAAATCGGATGAGGCCCAGAAAAAATTTGCAGGCGCCAAGTCGATTTCGTCCGACCAGTTTTTTGGTAATAAGGAAACGGATGTAAGTTTCATTTATAACACTAGACTTTTCTAGGACAATGTAAAAAAAACACCGATACGATAATATTGTTACACTAGATTTGATACAAAAATTGTCCACTCATTGCTTAAAAATACCACTGATGCAAACATTATCGGAAAAATGGTATCTGAAAACAAAGCACTGAATTTTAATCTACACGTTGTAAAACATGCAAAAAGACCAAAACATTAACACATGACTTTTCCCCCGGACAGTTTGCGATGAAACAGAACATGTCCAGATTTGAAGGGAGCTCAAGTATATCAAGTGCGGACTTCTACGGAGATTCGTCAAGTAAACGTTCACAGAACTATAACAATACTGGACCAGACTTCCAGGACATCAAGGATGGCGTGAGACAAGGAGTGACGAAAGTGGCCGGCAAACTCTCGACACTAGCTAACGGAGTGATGAACTCTCTACAGGTAAACACACTGGGTCATAGGGTCATCAGTATTCACGAACAAGGTTATAATTTTGTAGTATATATATGTGTTAATTATAACTCCACCACCCCTGAAATTTCATAATGAACTATTCCAACCTTTGAATTTGGAAGAGTTCAAATGTGTTTTCAGGGGTGAGTGATGCATACATATTTCTAAATTGGTGAATCTGAAGGAAAACTAGTAGAGGAAAAGTAAGAGTTATTAAAATTAGCCATCTTGTGTAATGTTATAATTTTATGATGCATTGAATGGTGTTGGATATATGATATATGTCAACGAAGCCTGTGATATGTGTCGGCTATAGAGTAACATGCTGCGACCGAATGTTACAACAGTATACTGTGTTAATGAAATTCTCCGTTGTCTCTAATCTGGCTTGATGTTAAATGCATGTGTGCAGTAGATAATGATCGAGAGTTTATAGCTAAAAAGTCTAGTTTATTTTTTGACAGAGTTTTTATGTGTAGATCTCATTCTAGGAAGTCCAGTTAAAGTCTACAATAAAACCTATAATACTCATTTCATTTTCTACCTCCCTTACTGCCAACAAATGTTAATCTTTCGATTCCGCTTGTTAACAACTCCTTGGTATGTCTGTTTGAATATATCAACAAACCTTTATAACAACAAAGTGTTGCTGCACAAATAGTGGTAATATAGAGAGGTTTTACCGTAGTTTAAATCAATATTCATTGAAGTGGTAGCATTAATTCAAAAGTGAAATTTCCAGGAGTGTTTTGACACATGATATAACTGGTTCTCCTATGCTGGCTTTGTAGCTTTCTCTTTGATACTAATTTGCATATAACTTAGAAAGCATTTCTGCAAACAAATCTTTATTGTAAATAAAGTTGAAATACTCCAAGAATTGAATTGGAAGAGTTCAAACATGTCTTCATGGGGTGAATAAGTTAAGTCATCACTTGTATGAAATGAGATAAGTATTAAATTGTGTCTCCCTTACAGAGGAAATGATGACTTCCCCAGGACACTATAGGTAAAGTGTTTATGGGTACTATCGTGGTATATTATGGCTCCTACCTGGCTGGTAGGAGAATTTGGTAGTCTGTTAATGTGTAAAACATGATAGCCTGCTTTGGGATAATGTATTCGCTATCACATTTTACCATGTCATACTCTATTATGTTGTTTATTTTACAGGACTGTCACTTCATCCATATCTTATTTGCCTTCCTATTAATATGCAATGTTTCGAAACATTTTTCTTGCTTTATTTAAATATTTTTTTCTGTTATGTCAACAACAAAAATCACTTAACAACATGTAAACTTAAATTTTACTTTGGAGACATTTTGAATATTCATCTTTTTAATTCTTTATTTTAAAATTAAAATTGAAAACCAGAATAAGCACAAGTTGTTTTTAAAATTAAAAAGAAAAATCATTTTGAAAATTTAGAATTACAATGTATCAAATATCTTGGTAAACTAACAAAGCTTTGAAAAATCGGGGCGGCAGTAGATATTCAATCTAGCTGTTATTAGCCCCATGTTGTTAAGTTATATAATGTTTTCTATGGAAATCAAGATATGATTAACCAATACATATTTAATAAGATTCTAAAAGGTAACATGTACTCCAGCACAGCGTATGAACTAGATTGTATTGATATTCCCACAGCTGTTTCCCTTAATTAACAGTTTCAAATACATTTTAGTATATGTGTACTTGTCAAACTCCTGCTATGTGGGTGTGGTTATGATTAGCGTCTGTGATATGAATACCAATAAGCTTGGGTAGAGTTACCGTAAATGTTATGGTGTATGTGCTAAGGTTCTTCACAGTAATTTTCCTGCTTTGGTTCCCTATAAGCTTGGGTAGAGTTCCCGTAAATGTTATGGTGTATGTGGTAAGGTTCTTCACAGTAATTTTCTTGCTATGATTCCCTATAAGCTTGTGTAGATTTACTGTAAATGTTATGGTGTATGTGCTAAGGTTCTTCACAGTAATTTTCCTGCTATGGTTCCCTATAAGCTTGGGTAGAGTTCCCGTAAATGTTATGGTGTATGTGTTAAGGTTCTTCACAGTAATTGTCCTGCTATGATTCCCTATAAGCCTGGGTAAAGTTCCAGTAAATGTTATGGTGTATGTGTTGAGGTTCTTCACAGTAATTTTCCTGTTATGATTCCCTATAAGCTTGGGTAGAGTTACTGTACATGTTATGGTGTATGTGTTAAGGTTCTTCACAGTAAATTTCCTGCTATGATTCCCTATAAGCCTGGGTAAAGTTCCCGTAAATGTTATGGTGTATGTGGTAAGGTTCTTCACAGTAATTTTCCTGTTATGGTTCCCTATAAGCTTGGGTAGAGTTCTCGTAAATGTTATGGTGTATGTGTTAAGGTGTTTCACAGTAATTTTCCTGCTATGGTTCCCTATAAGCTTGGGTAGAGTTCTCGTAAATGTTATGGTGTATGTGTTAATGTTTTTCACAGTAATTTTCCTGCTATGATTTCCTATAAGCTTGGGTAGAGTTACTGTACATGTTATGGTGTATGTGTTAAGGTTCTTCACAGTAATTGTCCTGCTATGATTCCCTATAAGCCTGGGTAAAGTTCCCGTAAATGTTATGGTGTATGTGTTAAAGTTCTTCACAGTAATTTTCCTGCTATGGTTCCCTATAAGCTTGGGTAGAGTTCTCGTAAATGTTATGGTGTATGTGCTACTAAGGTTCTTCACAGTAATTTTCCTGTTATGATTCCCTATAAGCTTGGGTAGAGTTCCTGTAAATGTTATGGTGTATGTGGTAAGGTTCTTCACAGTAATTTTCCTGTTATGGTTCCCTATAAGCTTGGGTACAGTTACTGTAAATGTTATGGTGTATGTGTTGAGGTTCTTCACAGTAATTTTCCTGCTATGGTTCCCTATAAGCTTGGGTAGAGTTCCTGTAAATGTTATGGTGTATGTGTTGAGGTTCTTCACAGTAATTTTCCTGCTTTGGTTCCCTATAAGCTTGGGTAGAGTTCTCGTAAATGTTATGGTGTATGTGTTAAGGTGTTTCACAGTAATTTTCCTGCTATGGTTCCCTATAAGCTTGGGTAGAGTTCTCGTAAATGTTATGGTGTATGTGTTAAAGTTCTTCACAGTAATTTTCCTGCTTTGGTTCCCTATAAGCTTGGGTAGAGTTACTGTACATGTTATGGTGTATGTGTTAAGGTTTTCCACAGTAATTTTCCTGCTATGATTTCCTATAAGCTTGGGTTGAGTTACCGTAAATGTTATGGTGTATGTTTTAAAGTTCTTCACAGTAATTTTCCTGCTATGATTCCCTGTAAGCTTGGGTAGATTTACTGTAAATGTTATGGTGTATGTGTTAAGGTTTTCCACAGTAATTTTCCTGCTATGATTCCCTATAAGCCTGGGTAAAGTTCCCGTAAATGTTATGGTGTATGTGTTAAGGTTTTTCACAGTAATTTTCCTGCTATGATTCCCTATAAGCTTGGGTAGATTTACTGTAAATGTTATGGTGTATGTGCTAAGGTTCTTCACAGTAATTTTCCTGCTATGATTCCCTATAAGCCTGGGTAAAGTTCCAGTAAATGTTATGGTGTATGTGTTAAGGTTCTTCACAGTAATTTTCCTGCTATGGTTCCCTATAAGCTTGGGTAGAGTTACGATAACCGTAGTTGTTATGTTGTATAAGATAAGGTCCTTTATGCTAATTGTTTCCTGCTATGTGGGTATGGTTAGAGGCTGAGGTATATATGGTTCCCCATAAAATTAGGTAGAAAAATAGCTTTGATGTTATTGTGTTTGTGCTAAGGTTCTTTACAGATATTTTCCTGCTATGGTTCCTCATAAGCTTAGGTAGAGTTACCGTAAATGTTATGGTGTATGTGCTAAGGTTTTTCACAGTAATTTTCCTGCTATGGTTCCCAATAAGCTTAGGTAGAGTTACCGTAATGCTATGGTGTACACTAAGAGGTACTTTTGATGTTCTAAGTTTAAATTAATGTTGTGTTGATGAGTAGTGAGTTATGTTTAGGGTCTTTGGTATTATTGGAATGTTCCTTGAGTTCCAAAGAACCTTTTTGTTACAAATGCAAGAATTTTGTTTAATGTGATTTTATTTAAAACCAACTGTAAAGAAAAATAGGATATCAAATGATGGGAACTGCTTAAATATGCACCATAGAACGGAGATACTGTAGACTTTATGCTGGTATTCTGAGTTATACAGCCAAGCTACCGTAGAGATTATGTTTAGTGCACTCTGACAGAGAGCTGAGTTACTGTAGACATTATGTTTGGTGCACTCTGACACAGAGCTGAGTTATCGTATACATTATGTTTAGTGCACTCTGACACAGAGCTGAGTTACTGTAGACATTATGTTTGGTGCATTCTGACACAGAGCTGAGTTACTGTAGACATTATGTTTAGTGCACTCTGAGACAGAGCTGAGTTATCGTAGACATTATGTTTAGTGCACTCTGACACAGAGCTGAGTTACCGTAGACATTATGTTTGCTGCACTCTGACACAGAGCTGAGTTACTGTAGACATTATGTTTAGTGCCCTCTGACACAGAGCTGAGTTACCGTAGACATTATGTTTGCTGCACTCTGACACAGAGCTGAGTTACTGTAGACATTATGTTTAGTGCATTCTTAACAGAGCTGAGTTACCGTAGACATTATGTTTGGTGCACTCTGACCCAGAGCTGAGTTATCGGAGACATTATGTTTGGTGCTCTCTGACACAGAGCTGAGGTATCGGGGACATTATGTTTGGAGCATTCTTTTACAGAGATGAATTACCGTAGATACTATGTTTGGTGCACTCTGACGCAGAGCTGAGTTACCGTAGACATTAAGTTTGGTGCATTCTTATACAGAGCCTAGTTGACATTATGTTTCGTGAGCTCATTTCTAGGGCTGAGTTATAGTAGACATTATGTTTAGTGCATTCTGACACAGAGCTGCGTTATCGGAGACATTATGTTTGGTGAGCTCTGACACAGAGCTGAGTTATAGTAGACATTATGTTTAGTGCACTCTGAAACAGAGCTGAGTTACTGTAGACATTATGTTTATCGCACTCTGACACAGAGATGAGTTACCGTAAACATTATGTTTGGTGCATTCTTTTACAGAGCTGAATTACCGTAGATATTATGTTTGGTGCATTCTTATACAGAGCCTAGTTGACATTATGTTTCGTTTGCTCATTTCTAGGGCTGAGTTACAGTAGATATTAGAAGCAACCTTTGGTCGAGTCAGAGCACATGTTGTCGACTTGTACTTTGTTACTGTGAAAGTTATCACCAGTGTGCTGTGCTTGTCTTTCAGAACTAGAGCCTAGACAACAACAGGTGCGGTAGATATTGTCAACATCTTGTGTGTAGTGCTTGACTTTGGCTTGACCTTTAACACTGTTCTGTCCTGTAATCACCTTCACGACACTTACTCCTGATCACAATGTCCAACACATTTCATACACAAATCTGTCATGTTTGATCATAGGCAAGAGTAATGAAAAAGTGTAACAAACGATTATCTTGATGGTTAAACTTATGAGATTAATTGAACTGTTAAAAATTGATGCAATTGCTAAAATATCACAGAACACTATTCCTTCCCCTTATTATCCCTCCTTTCGATACCCTCCTCTCTGGTTCTTCTTTCATCTTCTCCTTCATTAACTGTTCCTTTTTTCCTTCTTTTTCTCCTTCCTGTCATCCTTCTTCTCCTCTTGCTCTTCCGTGTACATCTTCTCCACTTCCTCCAGTACATGTATGTGATCACAGGACAAAACAGCTGTAGTGTATTTTGCATTTGATTAACTACGTTTATCTAAAGATACGTAATTTTAATACACCTGTACACCATTTTGCTTTCTGGCTTGGTTAAGAAGTACAAGGTATAACTAGTTTAGACATTTTATACTAATCTAGCGCTATACAGAAGTTCATCTTTTGTTGTAGTGAGCCAGTGTTACTGTTGAATACTGTGAATCAGTTTCCTCATGAATTAGCGAGAGGTTGATTTCTTGCTTATTTATTAGGATACTCTTTTACAATTTTAAATCTCAATGTTGATTATCAATTTTGAATGAGCCTTAAGCTTCTTTCCATTGTTAAATTACAAATTATTTGTAAACAAGTCTACGAACATTTTTCGCAAAATAACGTGGTTTTCAGTTTCTAGAGAAAATATGTTTCAGCTTAAATGTTTTTATTGGACAATTCTCCGATTTCAATCCCTTTTGATGCAAAAAAATATATTACTGAGTATGGAAGTATTTTCCTGTTTTCCATGGAGACATGACACGTTATAGGATTTTAGTGTACATCAGTTGTAGGTTAACATGGACGCTACACTTCAAAGCCTATCTATTAAGCCTAATAATATGAGAATGCAAATTTATCTCTTGGTTTATTTATTCATATTTATTACATTTGGGAACACAAACTACTTATTCAAAGATTAAATTTGTTATTGGTAGTTTAAAATTCTTTTGTTTCTTTGTAAAATTTCATTGCTTTTAGTTTTCAAGAAGAGTAATTAAGAAAATTTTGTAGAAGCGTTATTAGGTATATATGAGGCTTTGAACAGCTGGGGTCTTTTGTTGGTATGATGTACTGGGTTATAGCCTATAGACCCTATCAGAGGAAAAGTCGGCATACAGCTTTAACTTATATAGTGAATAACAATAATAAACCGCATTGCTGTCATTTATTTATATAACATACCCTATCTATCCTGTAATAAGCCCAAAGAGCCAGAACATATCTTTAACTCAAATTAGAGGGAATGAGCTTACTTAGTGACATAGCTTACTATCAGACATTGACATAGCACTGTCAGCGTTTTTTTTTTTACTAAATTACATAAGATATGGGTGGGCTTATTACCAGGCATGGGCTTATTGCTGGATAGATACAGTAGATGTTTTCCTCTGAACATTATTGATACACCCCTTTATTCATCAATCTGTAACTATCCCATTCACAAAGAAAATTGCATGTCATCAGTTTTGTCTCGCCGCCACAAAGTGGAAGCAAGACTAACTAAGGTGGTGCTTTTCCGGCGATGGCATCAACATTAAGTTTTTACGTTTAAGTTAATTTCTCTAAAAGTATAAGTGCTAGACCCACCAAACTTGGACCATAGATGCATTCTTAGGTAGTACATCTTAACCCATTAATCAAAAGCTGAATGCTGCATACCTTTCATGGTCTATTGACTTGGTCAGCATCTCCATCAACATTAAGTTGTTGCATTTTAAGTTAGTTTCTCTGATATATGCATTGATGGTCTAAGTGGTGTATAGGTGAGACATCAATCCAAATGGCTTGTGCATGAATTGAAGAATATTTTCAGTGAGTGTAATTTCACCTTTAGACGCTTTGATATATTCTGCTTCCATGTAAATATGTACGCATATGATATATAATGTAGCCTTTTATTACATGCATTTGATGCTCCTACTTTAAGACCCTCATCACTTAAGATTCTTCCACCTTTCGCTTCACTGGATTAGTTGGGTAGAAGAGATTTAAAGGAATTTTCAGTTAAAGAGTTATGCTACATTACTGTGATACTGTATCTACTTCCTTTCGTGAAGAGTTCCGTAATTAGAATCCTTACAACACTTATCAGCATTAATTTCGTAATAGCTAAAAGCTGTACCCTTAATATTTGTATTGATAGCCGCCGATAATTCTGAATTAATTATCCCATGCATTTGATTAAAACTTCTAAAGGGAGATAACTACTGGTAACACGAAACACAGTTGTAAAAGTAGCATTTAACTGAAAGATCCAAATCTTCTGAACTATCCTCCTAAAATTGGTGTCATAGTTTTATTCATAAGTGTTCATGCACTGTTAATGGATAATTAATTTTAATTTGTTATATTTAATGTTCATTATATGTTCTGAATTTGTATCTTATGTATTATAAAATGTTGTGATTCTGTTGCAAAGGTAAAACCAATCCAATCATAGCACTTTAATCAATCATTACTACGGTATGCACTTTATTTCAGCCATTTTAAAATTTGATTGAGAACAAATGGAATATTTGATCTTTTCAGGAGTAGTCACCCTCACTAATGCAAGTGAATTAGTCATGATGAGAATAAGTATGATAGTTATTAAACTTTGTGATTTTTACTGTGATGGCCAAACTTCGTACCAGGCAAAAATAGATTTTACGGATGAGGGATGAATATTTGACTGGGTGAACAATTCCATGTACACATGTACAGTACTAGTTATCCAATATAACTTTGTTCTTATCTGTGAGAAGATTGAAGTAACATGAACTTCAACACTGTTTGAATATTAACACAAGGGGTAATTTTGTGGTAATTTTGTGAAACAGAAATCCTTACAAAAATTAACTTTATAAAGAATCAGGTAAAAATAAATTAACAATATTGAAGTTTGATTTACTGTTTAAACTGTTCATTTTGTATTGCTAAAATTTCGACGATTTTAGTGAACTTTTCTTCCAACTAACATCCTCATAGATGTAATTTCCTCAGCATACATAAACACCTTTGAAAAACTGAAAGAGTCTTTAACGCTTGATTGATTTAATAAACGAGAGAGCTTGTTAAAATTGTGATAATTTTTGTCGTATCATTATGTGTTGTGAATAGCATTTAGATATTACGTGGCTGTTTTAACGATGTATGATTATAAGTGGAACACAGATTCGATTTCAGATTAATATCTTTAACAACATTATAAAAGGCAAGCTACCATTTCTGTCAACTTTTGGAAGTTACTCATCAGCATATATCTAAGGAAGACAACCTATCATACATATATTTTTTATGTAAATAGCGTTTCCCAAGATTATTTTGAGTGTGTGCTCCTTTAATCCCTTCAAGAGTTAGGCAAGCTTGGCTTCCTATTGCCTAAACATAATTAAGTATAAAATTTTAAATTTTCATAAAAAAATATGTCTTATTGAATTAAAACCAATTTTACCCCTCTCTGTAATTGTATTGTTTTACCCCTCTTTGTAAATTTACCCCTCTCTGTAATTGTAGTGTTTTACCCCTCTCTGTAAATTTACCCCTCTCTGTAATTGTATTGTTTTACCCCTCTCTGTAAATTTACCCCTCTCTGTAATTGTATTGTTTTACCCCTCTCTGTAAATTTACTCCTCTCTGTAATTGTATTGTTTTACCCCTCTCTGTAAATTTACCCCTCTCTGTAATTGTATTGTTTTACCCCTCTCTGTAAATTTACCCCTCTCTGTAATTGCATTGTTTTACCCCTCTCTATATTTGTATTGTTTTACCCATCTCTGTAATTGTGTCATTTGTTTTGTGTATTTTCAGGATAAATATGGAAGTTAATGTCCGACTGGAATAGACTGGAGAGAAGGGAGATAATTACCGCAGACTTTGTTGTGTACTTTGGTTCTAGCTCAGTGGAATGAAGAACACATCGGATCTAACTAACATTGTACAGCCATTTACAGTTTGCCCTGGACACGCAGCCGTCGGTACTATACTGACGTATTGATTTAGTAACGAGTCAGCATTGTGGTTTCCATAGTTTCTTATATTATTTTTCTCTCCCTCCCTCACTTTCATAAAGTCATAAAATCAAGGTCAATAATATCTCAGCCACAACTGTTCCTATATATCCACGGTTGCCTTGTGGCTGAAGAAACCCTCACTATCCATTTAGCCATGTAACCTTTGGGACCTGTTTTTTTTTAAACCAGAAGTTGATGGGCTTACAGAATTATGGTCATTTAAAATGGTCATGTGATCATGACTTTCATGTCATTTACTGTAATCCAGGGCATTGTAACTTTGGGGCATTGTGCAAAATCTAGACATTAGGACAAAGGATAGGCCTATTACATCATGTTTGGTTGAAGGAGAGAGTTGATGTGGATAAAAGAAGGGCGGTGTCCTGATCCTCCGAGCTCTGCCTGTAAACCGAGGCCAATTCTGTATTATACAGCATTCCTTCCAGACCGCTGTAAACAACATCTAATAAAAGGGCTGAGAAAAATTAGAAACTTGTTTTACAGTTACGAAGAAAGACATATTTTTTTCCGCTATTTGTTAACGTGGTCAGCAGTGGTCACTTTATTGAAGAGATGATTATTTATCACTGTTACTGTATTGTGAATGTGAGCGAGTGACTACAGTGCGTGTGACCTGTGATTTGTCCGGAGGTACGAATGATCAGGCTCGAATGTGCAAGTCTGATTGTCATAAAATCTCAAAATGAAAGGTCAAACTTGTCTTTTTTCACTGACATGAGGTAGATGAGTAATGGTCAGACGATATATTTTGAAGGTCAGATGGGATTATATGGCCACTGTTTGCTGACAGATAATACCTTAAGTTAATTTGGTTTGGTCTGTATCACGTTGGCCATTATAGGCTTTGAACCTTCAAGTGTTTTGTCTCCGTCTGGAGATCGTAATTTGTTATGCAAATGTCTAACCTAGAGCCAATTGGTACGGTTATATCAACCGTGTGGAGTTAAGCATTTGTCAATGAAAATGGTAGTTCTATTCTAAATTCCTCTTCTTGTTGAAAGAATTCTTGACAATTTTTGTTCCAATGTTTTTCCGAGATAATATATTCTAAAGTCAATACAGTAATCAAAGAGGTACCGGTAAATAAAAAGTTATTTCTAGTTAAAAATATATTACAATATTGAAGAATGTATGTTTATTTCATTGGCTCCTACATTGAGTGTAATGATTGTGACTGGACATCAGCTTTGCCGTTCTTTTGAATGAAACGTGCTGATATTAGTAATAACATACTTGGATAATAAGTGTTTTGTTTTCTTTTTGTTCAGACATTTTAGTCGCTTGTATGACTGTGATGAATTGTATGGCTAAGATCATGTCATACATTATTTATGGTATTTTTATTGTATAGTTTTGTTTGTAAAGGAAATATTTAAGAAAGCACACAAATAGACATGTTTAACGTCATGGGAGTTATCTCCCTTGCCATATATTACCTCATGCTTTATTTTCCTGGAGTAAGTATGGTAGTTTGCAAGTAGATGAAGGCCATGTTTAAACATATGTTATATTTATTGAAAAAAGGAAAATGGTGAATTTCACATTTTCTGCTGCTTTAATGAAATGGAGGAGTGCTTTTCAGGGTTAGACACTTATTTGTTTTGCTTGGTAGTCCACAGGACTAGTTGAATAGACTATTGACTAGTCCTTTGTCAATGTCACTAGTCCAAGATTTCCCGATAAGGAAACATCAAAAGTAGTCGACTGTATGGGTCTTAAAATAACTACTGTCATAAAAATAGGGTGAAGTTTTAGGAAAATTTTGACAATTATCATGCAATACATCTCATTTTAAGCAGTTTCTAAATTTTATAATCATGAAAATTTTATAATCATATTTTTTCACAAGTCCAAAGGACCAGTTAGGTGAGGTGATTCACTCGCTTGCTGAAATCTACCAGTCCAGGACTGGCGGTCTCGTGTTAGTGTCGACTTTAAAATACAATTTATTAAACAGATAACACTTAGTGCACATCTACTTTGGGTATTTTATAGCACTGCATCTCATAAACAACACAAATCAACTTTAAACATGACATTTTGATTATGTTCAGTGCATTTTGTTTGCTTTTTTCTTTTCTTTATATTTAATACAAGGTGAATATACTAAGGCTTCAAAATGATAGGGTTTGGGGGAAAAAAATCCAAATTTAAATTGTGAATAACTACAGTTTAAGACCTGGGTTATTTCCTTCAGGTCAAGGACATCAATGGCAGATCGGTAGGGCGAGGTCCTAGCATCACATCAAGGTTGTCCAATGCATTTAACTGTCACCATTGTTACATACATCTTTTATAAATTAATGTTATAATGCACTGTCCTTCGCTGCTAACAAGATGTAATCTTACTCCTCATTTACTATAAACATAGTATGTACAGGTTTATTTATGTACCATATGATTTGGATAAAATGCTTAAAGAATTGTCATATATACATCAACTTCACAGACATTCATCAGTGGTGAGAAAATGTTTGAACGGTGATATTAAATTTTTACAGACAATGTGTTATATTAAAAGGAAAATTATTTGACAAAAGAAATATAATGGATGATATGTGTTAGTGTTGTGTTACAACTGTATGTAAATGTACAGTTCAGTTTTCATGCACATGGTGAAGATTTTACCAGGTAACTTTCCTGTCATTTATAATACTAGTATTCATAAAGGTGAGGGACACTTGTAGCCTTACATTGGTGACTAGCTGTGTTTGTAAAGTTTGTATTTCTAGTCCCTTTCCCTTAAATAAATCTCCTGTTTGTTATACAATTCATTCAAAATTAACGATTAAGTGACTATCAGAATATAGAATAAGGACTCTACAAATTAAGCTTGGTGCTGAAACTGACGGAGGCAATCATATCACTGTATGTCTTCTGTGAAGGACTAACTAGGGTCTGTTATTTATATAACTCGCTGATTGGAGAGATCTGTTTGTCTGGCGTTCCCTAACAGTACCCTGTAGCTTAGTGTTGGTCAAGTCCCTCATACTGCCAAACACAAATTTCTTCAGCCTGTAGAATATACAGATCCCGAGCTTTAACTCAATATGAGTGAAGCCCTCAACTATTTTGTGAGGTACATGTGTAGGAAAGTAAGTCACCACCTACATGAAAATCAAGTTGAGAAAGACTTTAATAATTTAAGTGGGAAGTTTAAGATTTAAGGAGATATGCTACCTTACTGTGTTTAGAATTATCTTTCTAAAAGTATTTCTTTTAAAGAACCTTTCAAGCATATGCATTAAAATGTTAACTAGCTCCTATATATGTAAATACTTATTTTGTACATGTAGTGCATTGTAGAAGGCAAGCTTGTATGCATTGACACTTTGGGGTTTACTTTGTTAAATACTAAACAAAAATAGAGAGATTGATCACAAATCACATTTGTAAGGGAGGTAACTCTCACAACACATTTGTAAGGGAGATAATTCTTACACAAATCCTGGTAATAATGGTTACAAGGTAGCATATATCCATAACAAATCCTCATGTGTAAGGAATGCACATGCAAGTAAGGAAATGTGTTTTTAAATCTGGACATAATAATTACTTGTCAAGAAAGATGTACATGTTCTTACATGGGTTTAATACAAAGTGGTTTAGACTGTCTGGTCAAAATTGACCAAAGCATTTTCTGTATATTGATGGGTCATTAATTTTTCGTGTAACATTCAGTTTGGACCAGACAGCAGTTCCAATGTGGTCGCTAAAACTAATTTGTATCAAGATGGTGAAGATTGAGCATATCTGTTATGTGGTCAAATAAAACAACTTTCTATAGATATCAGTTTTGTTGTTTCTTTATTTTCTATAAATAAAACACAATATTACAAACCTGAAGTTAAGTTTGTGAAGTTGAGAAAAATGCATAATTATGCATAAATTATAACTTCACATATCCACTTTATTGAGTATTATGTACAGTCAAGCTTCCATAAATTGAAGTTAGAAGATTTAGATTTCTCAATATGACAAACTTACTTAAAAATCATTCTTTTTCTTTTGTATAACTGATATTCCATTTAGAAATAGAACTTTTATAAGTTGAATTTTTCTCGCTGCTCTGAATTATAATCGATGCCCAATTGTTAGGAAAACTTCGAAAATTACAACGGTCAAACCACCCCATAAACCATAGTCTAACCCATGCTGTTACCATGATTAGACGATGGGTGACTGAGCTTTTGAGCATTTACAATGATTAAAAACAGTCAATCGGTTGCCTGAGTGATTCTTTTTGTCACCCCCCCTTCTATAATTCTGTCCACCCACCATCCACTCTTGAAATTTGGATCGTCTTTCACATTTCCCTTGGCAGGGGATCTGAATGACTATGTCCTTGTTTAAAGCTCTTACAGTGAGCTACTCCAGGCAAGTCAGCGTAAAACTCAAATGTGTAGGTCATTAATTTTGAGAAGAGTTGCTGTTGAATAAAATTCTGATTAATTGGAGCTCACATTATCAGCTATTGGAAAGAGCTTGAAATTATGCTAGGTTTATCCATAATGGCTGGTGCTATGTAAGGCCAAGCTCAATTGGGCAAGGTCATGCCAGCTACTAATGAGCAAAATGTGTAAAAGTTCTAATGATAAATTTATTTAAAATTGCACTCCTTGCAAAAAGTCTAGGATTAGAATCTTTGAGCTTAAGTCATACACCCCTGAAGACACATTTGAACTCCAACAATTCAGGTGTTGGAATTGTTCATTATGAATTTTCAGGGGTGAATGAGTTAATCACAATGTTCTTTTTTTTTTAAATGTTAGTGACTGACTGTTGTTTTTTGTCCTAAGAATGATACATTAAGTTCACGGGTATTTTTTTTTTACAATTTAAGCATAATTGTTAAGTTGTACAGTCATAGTGTTTAAGCAGTATTTAATACGTTGACCTGGATATGTTTCTGTGTTCCTAGTCACTGCCAGGAAGAATCCTACCCTACCTGACCTGTAGGGTCATATGAATTTATATATATGTCATGTTGCAGCATCTGTCATCCGTCTAACTGGCATCAACTGTTTGACAGTTTCTATTGACAGCTTCTTCTCAATAATCAACAGGCCAAGGGTGATGATATTTGTCAATGCATGCTGGGATTAATGACCTTGACCTACTTAGAAGATGACAAGGGTCAAATGGGTTGAAATCGTTAACCAACTTCTACTCAATAACAAAAAGGACCAGTGTGATGATCTTCTTTTTTACTGTTTTATGATATGAAAAATTAAAGATACCTTGTATTCAAGCACTTAAGAAAAGAAAAAAAGAAAAAAAAAAATTACCAAAGTTTTGATCGTTTCAAAAATTCAATAGTCAATCATAACCTTGATCTTCAAGATATTCAATATAAATTTCAAAATAAAGTTGTAGCAAAAAAACATAAACTTGTAAGATTTTCCACTGCATGATGTCGGGCAAACATTGGCAATATTTAATAAAAAGACACTGTTTAGCTGTAATCGGCACTTATTCCCCCTTATAAGAGTTACCTCCCTTTTTTCAGCACTAATTGAATGTTGCAAGCTCCCCTTTTTCCAAAGACCCTCCATTCTGGCCTTTTCCAAATATCAAAAACATTTTATACACTTTGTATCAGATATTACATTGTATAACAACTTTGAAAAAGGGGTTAAAAAATGTCTAAGGTCAAGGTCACTATCATTTAAATTATACCACAAGGGTATGCTTTATAGTTCTATACAGCTGTCTGAGGGGGTATGCAACATGTATTTCTACATCCTTTTCAAGTGTTGTTGTTATTTCACCTGTCCTTATGAAAACACTTAGCTTAATTCTGTAGTCTAATATGAAATAAAAAAACAACTCGTTACAATTCATTTTCTAAGTATTATTTGAGTGTAATTTTAATTTCCATGGTTATGATTCACTCATCTTAATATCAAGGTAATGAAGCCATTATCCGTGTTCTGAGATTTTGTAAATTAAATAGCATGTCATTGAAAAATTCCTGTCATTAAGACCCTATTGTACTGGGGAGAACAGCAATCAGAAGCATTGTACAAGCAATTCTAGTTCCTCACTCTAGAGAGTGCAGTACTTTCTATTATTGATATTTTGGCATAATCAAATTCATAAAACAGATCATAAAAAATAAGTTTGCTGCATGGAGGTGCAAGATAACACCGAGTTTGACCCAGAAGGTTATTAGGGAGCCTGATTCAATCAGCGCCTGGGAAAACATTTAAATTTCCTGTCAATTGGCTTCATAATTTCATAATTGTTCCTAAACATTTTTACCACACTGACTACCTTCATTGTGTCAAAATTTGCACTTCATTAATTCTGTTTTTATAATATTTGTTTTGTCAGAAAATTTATTCTCTGAAAAATATCCAATCATCTCTAGGGACAAAGATCAAATCAATTTCAGCTAAAACTGTGAGGATAATTAAAAACTCTGCTCCTACATAAAAAATGTTATAGGGGCATAATTCCCATAAAACCAGTTATTATGGGCCGATTGGTCGAGTGGTTAAGACTCTGGCCTTCCACGCAGGTGGCCAGGGTTAGATCCCTGAAGTCGTTGTATTCATGGATATTCAGAAAAAGTGTTTTTCTCCTGCCCAGATAACTCCAACAACCCAGGTGGAGTATAAATTGGTCAGGGGTGGATGTTGCGGATCTGTGCTGTAGCATTCAAGTGAGGTGGCACTATAAATGATGCCGTTGGAAGCACGGTCTCACTACAAACAGAACATATTACATCTCCAGCACAAACGCAGGCATACACACATATGGAGATATTAGCCAGGTGGCATAGGACAAGTAGTTAGTGCCTGATAATAAGGTCATTCATTTTAACCAACCTGGTAGCCCTTCATCTAAGTCTGCTAATGACTAAATATCAATATCCTGGACATTTTGGTTATTCAGAAGAGGAGAGGTTGTTGAAAGTTTTTAACATATTTGACCCCTGTGACCTTGAATATGAGTGAAGGCCATTAACTTGAACAAACTTGGTAGCTATTCATCTCAGCATGCTACTGGTCAAATATCATCACCCGAGGCATTTTGATTATTCAGAAAAAGTTGTTTAAAGTTTTTAACACATTTGACCCCTGTGACCTTAAATATGGGTGAAGGCCATTTACTTGAACAAACTTGGTAACTTACGACTACCAAGTTTGTTTAAATAAATGACCTTCACCAATTTTCAAGGTCACATAAATTTGCATAAAAGTATCCAGGGGGGTCGGGAGTTAAAGAGAGGTTGGGTAATGACTATAACGTTTCTACTCGACTCCCCAAACCTATTTGTGTCCAGTGATTGAACATTATTTTGGCATTATTTCCTGGCCCCGGGGTTGGGGATTGGTGGGGTAGGGGTGGATAAACATGCAACTGTAACCTTCTGATCAACTACTGAACTGTTTTTGATTAAACATTTTGAAACATAAGTTTTTTTCATAGGGGGGTACTTTTTATAAGGGGGTGGGGTTACTTTTTGGGAGGGGCATAAAAAGTATCCGGATACTATTTAAGCAAGAGGTACATTTTATGCATGACACCGGCTGCGATTTGGGGTCCCGGCATATTCCTGATATAGTCATTGTATTACCCTGTATAAACCAGACACCTGTGTAAACCAGACAAATAGTTTAGTCCCGCTGACATCCGGTTTAGAGAGGTCATTCCAATATACAAAATATATATTTTTACAAAAGTTTGAGTAAAATACTAGTACTAGAAGACTATATAGCGCCAGAGCTGAGTGGGTAGAAAGAAAATCCTGATCTCGCTTCTACCCCTAGTTATGCGAACTTCTTGAAACGGAATTGCTACTTTTTTTACAGTCAAACGTGTAAGACACTGACAGCTTAAAATGATAATACATAAGGGTCAAGCCAATTACTCACTACCATATTGCTGTACGATAATAATTTATTGAAATATCAATTTGGGCCCGGACAGTTTCAGCCTATGATACTGTGGCAAGTTCGGCCCATGTAACACATAAAAAATTCTAGAATTGGCGGTAAAATATGGCGTTGCATGCTTTATGGCCATCCGATCTTCCGACAGGATAGTAAAACAATGTGCAAAAACGGATGTGCTGCCATACTTACTAGAATGGACTTAAATAAAAAAAAAATGGCCGAACTTGCCCCTGTCTCCCTATTGTTATGTCGGTCTTAAAGTCATTAGAGCTTGTGTTTTATTGTTATTCCTCGACTAGCCGACTTTTAATAAAGTTTATCTTATCTCATTTTGAAAGTTGTATTCTCAATCAGTAAATATCAGAGATTAACAAAAGCTACGCTCTTTTAAGGCTTTGCCTTTTCATATTATGTCTATAGTAACTTGTGTTCTATGGTAACCAATGTATCTATGGTAACCAATGTATCTATGGTTACCAATGTATCTATGGTAACCAATGTATCTATGGTCATGCTAACTAGCAATAGCATATCCATGGTATCTATATATAGCTCGAGCTTCCTCTGGACTCAGACTTTGTACATTTTGACAGATGTTTGGTGTAGAAACTTCTCAAGAAAAATTCTATAAACATACTTATTTCTATTATAAAATAGGTTATTTTAGCTTTTGTGATTACCACACTGGCTAAATAGGTACTTGTGAGCATGCTGTCCCGACACCTGTCTCCACGGTAACCGGCTGTCCTTTCTGAGGAATGGAGCAGACATTCAATAATGACCACTTAAGGATCATATCAGAATCATAAATGGTGAATAAATCTTGTAGAGTCCGGTCAATCACAGAAATTACTGATTCAGCAATATTGTGATTGTATAACATTCT